TTATTTAACTTTTTACGAACGGTAAATCCATATATGCGTTCAACATAAATAATTGTTTTGCAAAAACAATTGACGTGGCTAATAAACACATGTTTGGCAAATATTTAGCTTATACCCCCGACATAATTAAAAATAATCAATGTTTGCAATAGATACATACATATATACATGCCTTAAAAGTTACTACATCAATCGCTATAAACTTGATATGAATTTTTTTTACAAACTCATCTTTATTTATCTTTATGTGGTACACAGTACAAGAAAAAGTGCTCTGACCATTTTCAATCTCTGTCACAGTAGCGAAATCGGTTCCACAAAGCGGTACGTTTAAACTGGGCCATCCACAAAGCGTTAAATTATAAATTCAGTTAAGATAAATAACATGAAAATTTCGTGTATATTGTAAAAGAGGAACTCTTTTCTATTAAACTATGAATATATATTTGTACTCATGCGTCTTATAACAACCTTGGCACCTCTTGTAATGTCTTGAAACAATTTAACCATTTGTATCTTTATTTGATCATTACTAGCATCATTTAATTTATTTAATGATTTTCTTTTTGATTTAAAATATTTTTGATTAATGAAATTCTTTTTCTGTTGTAATTGTGAGAGATCTTGATAAAATTTTTGTGTGATATCCTTTATTTTATTTGGTAATAATCCTTCTACTTTAACAGTACAAGTATTCTCTTCTTGTGACTCTTCCTTCTTTAGATTTATGTTTTTTTCTGAAACATTGGTATCTTTTAATTCTATTCTTGACGTTGCAGACGATGTACTTTCATTATAAGTTCCTTTGTTATCATGTTCAGATTTATGATGTTGTTTTAAGCACTGAGTATTTGTCAATGTATTATTATCTGAACTCTGATGTTCCAGTTGAACGTTAGAAATATTATCTTTTATCTGATACGACTGTGCCTTGCAAATTTCAATATTATCTTCATTTATTTCATTGTTGTTATTTGAAAAAATGCGTTTCATTGATAACTTATTTCTGAGTATTTTTTGCAATGGCAAAGGTATCTGATCTGTAGTAATAATTTGATTTGAAATAACTATTGGGACATTTGATTTACATTTTTTTGAAGATTTATCAACTGTATTATCATGTAATTGTTGTGTTTTATTTACAATAGAATTCATAGACATTTCTCCTGATTTCATAACAAGATTGTCATTTGAACTATCATTTTTTGAATATGTTCTTGGCTGCAAATTTTTACTAAAATGAAAACTATGTTCATTCTTTATTGTTCTAAATTTGACCAATTCTTCACTTTCTATATCATCCATTAATAAATCTTTATTTGGTATAAATCTTAATTTTTCTTCGGATTTATCTACCTTAAGAGATACTGTAGGAGACTGAAAAATTTTATCTTGTAATGCTTCTGGAACTATATCTTCCTCTTCCTCTTCCTCTTCCTCCTCCTCTTCCTCTTCCTCTTCTTCTTCTTCTTCTTCTTCTTCTTCTTCCTCTTCTTTTTCTTCTTCTTCTTCTTCTTCATCTTCATCTTCATCTTCATCTTCATCATCATCATCATCATCTACTTCTTCATATTTTGGACGTTTACTTTTTGCAAATTCTCTCTTCTTTTTCTTCTTCTTCTTCTTCTTCATCTTCATCTTCATCTTCATCTTCATCTTTATCTTCATCATCATCATCATCATCTACTTCTTCATATTTTGGACGTTTACTTTTTGCAAATTCTGTACTTTCTTTATATTTATCATATACTTCAGAATAATGACGTTTGTTTATGATACTAGAATCCTTGTTACTATTTGAAAAACTTGTACCAGCTAAAGGAGAGTTATTATAAGAAGATTGCCTTTGCATACGTTTTAATTCAGATGGAATATTTTGTTCTTTAATTTTATTATTTGTTAAAGTATGCTCTTGAGTAATTGCATTTTTATCTGTAAATTCACTTTCTTCTGGTAATTCAATCATTGTTATTAAATTCTCCAAACCAAGTAAACTAGAATTTCGTAAACATTTTTCTCCTCCTTTCGTTTCAATTTTTTCAGAATTTTCTAATACTTCATCTACTTCCAATTTAGTTTTTTGTTCTATAACTGCGACAGTATCTTGCCCCTGACGAATTGTAAACATTAGTCCTTCCATTACTAAATTTGTAATATCTGAAGACCGTGATACATTATCCAGTGCATATTTTTTTTTCTTAAAACGAGATAAATTTTTAATTTTTGTAATATCTGAATGTTCATCTGCACCAACTGTAGATACTTCTTCGCTTACTTTTTCTAACTCACATTTTATAAGTTTCAGCTTTGTATTTTTTATTTCTTCTTCTATCAAGTACTGATATGGCAAATTAAGAGAATCATCGAATGTACTGTTATCATCTAATATTCTGCTCTTATCTGATACAGAATTATCCTTATATTCAGCAACATTTTTTTCAATATTGTGCTCATCTAGTTTCTTCGTCCTATGCGATAATTCATTAAAATTTCTTTTACTCATGTCCATGTTTTTATTTAATAGTGTTGAATTTTCGTTACTTATGTCTTGATATTTATTCTGTCTTTTTAATACAGTTGGATCGTGTTTAAAAAACTTACGTTTTTTTCTACTATCATTCAACTTTATATTATTTCCTGATGCTACTGGTAACTTAAATGATGCATTCAAATTTTTAATAAGTTTACTTGTGTTTTTATTATTAGTTACTTCTTTTACTAATTCTTTATTTTCGGATAATTCTTTTAAATTATTATTTACAGCACTATTATCTAATAGCTGAATACTTCTATTTCCTGATTTTAAAACCTGTTCTTGCATATTATAACATTGGTTGTTTTTTTGTGAAAAATCATCTTTAAAAGAACGTACTAGACGTTTTTTACTTCTTCTTTCTTTGGTATAATCAAATGTGTGTCCACTATCTGAATTTTCATCCTCCTGAATTAAAGACTGTGCAGAACGAGTTGTTATATATTCTATATTCTGTTCTATGGTTTCAGAAGAATATAGTACTTTTACAGTTAATACAAATGCACAAGAAAATGCTGCAACACATCGTTCCTTAAATTGTGTCATTGCAAATATCTTATCTTGTCTAGTCCAAGATGTATGATCTATTTAATAGTGTATTAAAGTTAAATATATTGTTATGATAAATACGAAACGTTCAAAATCATCAGAAAGTTAATTGTATGTTGGAAAAGGATACTATAAGTAACTAAAAGATGGCTTGTAATGAATTGTTGCCCTTGACGAGGTTGGTTTTTTATAATCCTTCTAATTATTTTCATTAATTCTCTCCCAAAGTTAAATTGCTTTATATTTCTGCAAATACACGTCTTGAAACTATATTCTGTTAACAATGCTTTGGTATCAATAACATCTACCTGGTTAAACGATGATATCTCAAAATAAATTTATATACATTATTCTTATGAGATAACCAGTATGAGCCAGGTACTGTTAAAACTGATGTTTCTCTTCTTTGGGTCCCATTAATCCAGCTAGCTTTTCGTACATATATTCCAGGCATTTTCTCTCAGGTATTAATTCTTGAAATAAAGGGACTAATTTTATTGAATCTTTCCCATTAAATGATTCTTTTACAATAATTGTAAGGTAATATAATACCTTTTGCTGAAAATATAAGTATATTTTTATTTGAATATTAGGTATTTTAAAATTAGCTACATTGTACATATTTAATACTCACTCCTGTTATAACTTCATTAATAAATATATCTACAACAGTATCCCAAGGAATAAATTCACATGAACTTAAACCATAAAGTATTCTTCTTCCTTTAGTATATACACCAACAGATTCTACGACTATTAATGTGTCTATATATAAAAAGAAATTGAACTTAATATTGTGCATACAAATATATTATAATTATAATTATTTAACAAACCTTTATTTACAGAAGTGATAAAACAAGTAAATTGTAATATTAGTGCTAATATGCATAGAATAAATGGTATTAAGACATTAAAGGCTTTCCATAAAACAAAAGTTGAAAGAAGTAAAAGGAAAGTTGTATTGACATTCAAATGTATGTTTTTATATAAAACAAATTTCATAACATTTTTAGCTTTTGTACTTTTATCAATAAGTTTCAGTTTGCTGCCATTTACACTTCGAAAAAACAATTCAGATGAATATTCATTTTTGAGAAATGTGGACGACATCAATGAAAATTATCTGTTCTATTATTAACACCAGAAATTTGATTGGCAATTTTTACTAAATAAAAAAAATAATATTTGATGTGATAATTTGTTAAGAATATTCCAATATATATCCTTAATAATGTACAGTATTAATAAAATTTTTATAGTAATGTTACTAATGACATATCTTATGATAGAAATATTAATATATGTGTATTTACGTATGTATAATTAATAAAAAATGCCTTTACATTTTTTACGAAATGTCATGTATGTAATCACAATTTATGTATCACAACAAACAATTCAAATGTTTGTGTGCACAATCTCTATGTAAAATTTTATTAACTGTTTAATAAGTTTATGCACGTTTATTTTATACAATTATACTCAAATGCATTTAGTTGAAGTAAGTACTATCGTAATGTTTTTACACTTCTCTGTACTGTCAAAGTTGACAGCCGATAACGCGCAATAGAAAACACAATGTAACATATAACGTTCTTAACTTCGTTTTTGTAAACATATTTATGTATGCAAAATTGATTTTATATTTTTATTCCAAAAAAGAAAGAATAACAATAGGAGTAACATGAACTCTGATTGGCTTAAATACTGACGTATTAATCTAATTAAACAGCTGTAGTCAAATAGTATATGTATTATATATAATATACATATGTGCGATATGAATTTCTCTAGTTAAAACTTAGTAGGTTCAAAATATACATACGTACAATAAAACAATCTAAGAAATTAGTAATTTATATTGTTATATGAAACTAATATTTTGTTAAAAGAATTTTTTCATTACAAAGACATAATTTATTGTAAACTATGTAAAAGAATTCTTTTAACACTTATAGCAACAGTTTTCTTTTTATGCATACACATATGTATGCACACACAGAAGATAATCATTCTAAGTAAGCGGTACATTGAAAATGCGTCTTTCGACCGTGATTCCAGATACGCATGTAATACGTAAATATTAAATATACAATTTTCGATACACTGAAAAAAATATGTTATTCGTTTTTGTAGAATTTTCAGTATTATATTTGTTAAAAATTTGTAAAAAAACCCATATCGACAGAAAATATGCAAATGAAGAGGACGAAATGAGAAAAAAGAGAAAAAGAATGAAAAAGGTCTAAAAAGATAAGAAGTGCGCAGACGTGGTCTTCGTGCTGAATCGCTCGTGTCCCGTCAAATAGAGGGAGTGAAACAGCACCTGCTGCCATTCTGGCATTACGTCAATGGTGGACATCTCATTCGCTGGTTTGGGAGGAGTTACCGTGACCGCCATTGTTACAGCTCCTTCGTATTGAAGAACGTGATCAGTGAATCCGTTTCGTCATTATTACTGATTTCGACGGATTGTGTCTATTTTCTAGATTTCCGCAACGACGGTACACGATATTAGTGAGCGTGTTCTGAGCGTAGCATGTCCACAATGAATCCCGAGTAGTGAGTAAACTTCTTTTTGCGCAGGCATAAGTATATCTAGGAACGTTCGTTTCGTGAACATATAATCAATTACTTGTAACCCTAACAACGACTGACATCAAAGAGATCAACTTAACGTTATTTATGTATTACATAGCTACATTAATGTGAAAAAGTTTTGTTTAAAGCCTACTATC